GTGGCCTTCCGTGCGCTTGTTGTCTGGGGGCAGAGGGGGCGGGGCGCCGCCTTCTGAGATCTGGGCGTGGCAACTTTGTCACACAGGACGACTTCGCCACATTTCGGGTCCTGGCACGAGCGTTGGAAGGTCGATCTGGCGCGAGAAATGCCGCAGAAAAATGGAGGCCTGGATGATGAGCGGTACAGGTACCCCTAACCCTTTAGGAGGGGACCGAAGTTAGGAGGGCCAAACAGCAATGGGGACAGGGTTTTTGTTCCTGCAAATGCATCGGACCAGACCGCCCGGCTGCAGTCCCTAATGTGAAGACGGGGACTTCAGTGAGGCCAAGTCTTCGCGGTGTATGTAGGGCTAGGGGTTCTTTTCTCCTCGATGACAGGAGCCCCACTTGTGATTTGCTTTGCGATGTTGAGACTTCTCCTCAGCGCCAGATCTCGAGGATCCCCGAGAGCAGCCCCTCCGTGGCGCCCTCGGGACCCGAGAGTGGCGCCCCGAGGGCGCCCTCGCAGAAGCCAAGCACCCGAGGTGGAGGCCTGTCACCCGTGGTCGGAGTAGACGGGGTCGGAGGAACCGAACTTTATACACCGATGCTTTTTTCTGGTCCCACACTGAGATTCGCACAAGAAACGGATTCTGGCATATACGGCATCATGGTGTATACATTTTTGTTGTTCCCACGGGAAAACGGGGAAAACATATACACCACACCACCCCGACGTCGTTCCCGACCCTGAAAAAAGCCCTGGGATTGAAAAACCGCCCGCCATTGGTACTGTATACGTTCCAGTTCCCGACAATACGCAAGGGGCTCTGGGACACACAAACAAATACACACAAATCACAATATTCCCCGTATTATTCATATTTTCTGGAATTTCGTCTTCCCCCCCGCTTCCTGTATTTTCCAATATTTCCATGTGTCTGTGTGTTTCTTTCCCTCCTGAAATACATCGGCGACGCACAGACGATGCAGCGTCGACGCCAGCGACGTCGACGTGAAGCAAATCGGGCTCCACCTCCCAGCCGCGTCGCCGACGCATCGGCGATGCGGTTCGATCCTCCGATCCCATCTACTCTGACCCAATCTAGGAGGCCTAGAAGAGGCCACCCAGGTCACTGGGCACCCTCCGCACCATCGGGGCGCATCTTTTTATTCGCGGCAATAAAAGAAATTATGGGGGGGGAGGGGGGGGGGGAGGGGAGAGGGGGCATAACGTACCCCACAGACAGACGCGCTGCAGCAGTGCCGGGGACGCACTGAGGGAGAGAGCGTTACGTTATGGGTGGGGAGGAGCGGGGGGGGGGGTAGCGGGGGCATAACGCGCGTTATGGCCCAGAGGGTACAGAAACACTCTCTCGGTGTCCGCAGCGTCGGGGCGAGCCGCCCGGGCCGCCGCCGTCGCCACCATCGCCGGAGCGGGCCGCGGACAGGCGCGAAACGCGGCCGAGTCGCCAGCGGGGCGGAGGCGAGACGGCCCAGGCAAAAAAAGACGCCTGGGGGGCTGGCGCGCGCGTCCCGCGGGGCGTCACGAGGAGCCCACGGCGGGATCAGGAGGTGCCAGCGGAGGCGAGGGAAGACGGGGGAGGAGGAGGAGGAGGAGGAGGAGGAGGAGGAGGAGGAGGAGGAGTAAAAAGAGAAAAAGAAAAGTACGACGAGAAGGAGGAGGAGGAGGAGGACCTCTCCAGTCCAAGCCATGTGAGCACTCTTGGTCAGGCCAGGGCTCGCGGGCAAAGCTCGAGCCGAGGGGAGCACACCCCGCACTCTGGGGACATCCCTCGAGAAAGTCGGGACGGGACAACGGGCCAGGCAAGGGCCCGCCCCCGGAGCGTGCCGGGACCACCTGGCACGCCTCGCTCATCTGCTGGGCGGTCCTCGCAGCACACCGTCCACGCAGCTGACAAGAACAACAGTCCTCGCTGGACAGACAAAACGTGGGAGTTCGCCCGCACGGCATCCACGATACTGCGAATGCACTATCACCATGCTCCTGTGTTCGACCCCACTGCTCCTGTATGGTGTGTGGTTCACGATGTGCAGGAGCGCGAGAGCGAGGAAACAAAAGCGGACGCTGCGATACAGTTGACGACGATAACCATCGCGCGCTTGGTGAGCGCTCAAGTTATATCTGCCATGGGGCCATGCGTATAGCGCGTCAGAGGGGCCGTGTCCCGGTGATCGGGTCCTTGGCTTGGAAACGCACTCCTTGGTGTCAGACGTCGCCTTGATGCTTTGTATCCGCGGCAGTCCTGGGCTATCCTTGGGCAATTTTGCAACTCTCTGCGGGACCATTTGTGCAACCGAGGCCATCTTGGAGCCACGCGTTGGCGACGAATAGGAACTCAAAAAAAGAAAGCACGTTGGGATTCACTCTGGTTTGACTGGTTTGGCTCTCTTGGAAATCCTGTGTGGGCACTCTGGCAGCTTCTTGGGGCTTCATTGTACTGCTGGAGACGTCCTGGGGCAACCTGGGGACCTCCTGGGACCTTCGTGGGTCCCTCT